AAACAAAAAATGCCCTCCGGGACCCCCCCCCCCCCCCCCCCCCCCGCTTTTGTCAGGTCAAGGCGGCAAGCCCCCCAGAAACCTTCCTTGTTAATATATTAAACATTACTGCTCATATTGTATTGTACGTATTCCCGCCATCTAACAGCGCATCTCTCGCTCTCGTTGAGATAAAACATCCATACCGAATATTTAAGTCAGTATCGATATCCGGTAGGCCTACTCTTGAGGCTAAAACCAGACAATGCTAATAATTTAATTAGTCCCCTCTTTGTCCTGCGCATATAAAAATGGTACTTTAAGTCTACATAAAAATAGCAACGGGTTTTTTTATCAAGCACAGTACAGTAACGGTATATATATTATATATGATGTGCTATGAAAAGAAGAGTTTCAAAAGGGAAAAGGCAAGGGAGGACTTTCGACCCGTAACGAGCGACCACAATGACAGTGAGACAGAAGGCGGCTATGGGTTGGGGTAGGGGAAGGTAGGGTTAAGTTTTGGATTAGGGTTAGGTCTCTTCTTTATTGTGTTTGTTTTGGGTGGTCGCTCATTAACGAAGACATGAAGCTACAGCGAGCACCTAGCACACCTCTGTGATTGGCCCAAATATAGATGACGTATTTCCGTCACCTATTTCGGTCGTCTTCCGGGGTTTCCAACAAGACGCTAGAGTTTCCCTCGCCACGACTCGCCAGTAACTGTTGACAAAATCTCGCCGTGTTTGTTTTTATTGGTATTAATTTGTGTTATCTTTTATATATATATATATATATATATATATATATATATATATATAACAATCTCAGGAATTCTCGTCCCATAAACCTACCTTCTCCTCAAAGTTGTACACACACATACCCGAGCGCCTGCGAACACACACACACAAGCACCTGCGTTAGGCCTGGGCATTATTAGTTTTTCAAAAAACCGAATAACTAGGTACCTGTTTCTCTAAAAATCCGAATAACCGGTTAAATGAATCGTTTAGCAGGGGGGGGGGGGGGGTATTGTTGAATTTCCCCCCATGTGTTCACTGACTGACCTTACTCTATTATCAATTTAGCAACCTCATTTTTAAAACGGATTTTCTTTCTTTGTTTTAATTTGCGGTTTCATGTTTCTGGTCCAACCAACTGATAAACTCCTTTCCAAAGAAAACTAGATCTACTATCAATGCTATTTAATATAACATCTGATTCCAGGAAATAGAATCTAGTTCTTGCAGTCATTTTGCTGTAGTCTAGAAGTGGCAAACGTGATCTATTAAGATCAAGAGGGGAACAAATCACTTCTGGAAAATATTCACTTGAGCATAAAACTGAATTTGGCACTGCTGTTCATTGTACATCGTGTAATTGTGGACTGTCAAAGGGTGGTCATGATACGTCATCCCCCTCAGCACCGAGTGAACTAACTCCATTCCAAAACGACTCATTAGCTGACTCGGTTTGAAACCGATTCATTAGCTGACTCGGTTTCAAAGCGATTCATTAGCTGACTCGGTTTCAAAGCGATTCATTAGCTGACTCAGTTTGAAAACAATTCAATAACTGACTCGGTTTGAAAACGATTCATTAGCTGACTCGGTTTGAAAACGATTCATCAGCTGACTCGGTTTGAAAATGAATAAAAATTGAACTCGCTTCTTATTCCTTTTGACGTCATAACCGTTTTGGCACATTTCTCCTTCTCGCCACAGATAAAACACATGTTTCTGACTAACAAAACTGCCTTTCACACATCTGTTGGTCAAAGTAGGAATTATTCATTTATTTGTTCTAATGATTTTTACCTTTACCTCTGACTTTATCGGAAACTTTTGTTTGGACTACTAAAAATTTGAATGTGAAACACGAAGTTTGGGAGCTGTTTCTTTGCCATATTATATTATTATTAATTTCATTTCCAAACATACTTAAAACTTGACGACAAAGCTAGATTTATCTATTTTATTTTTTTTTTAAAGGGGGAGATGGAGAGAAAGAGAGAGAGGGAGGGGGCGCAGGAGGCACGGAGAAAGAAAGCGAGAAAGACAGAGAGGGAGGGAGAGAGGGGGAGAAAGAGAGCGAGCGAGAGAGAAAGAGAGCTAGCGAGAGAGAGAAAGAGAGAGAGAGAGAGAGAGAGAGAGAGAGAGAGAG